AAAAAAAAAAAAAAAAGGAGCTTGCTAACATGCTATCACTTCCTCCAGAATCTTCTATCATCACCTGTGTTAGCTGGAAATTATGTTTCCCAGGAATCCCTCTTTCTCTGTGGTTCCAGGTTAGAATCCTTAAAGGAAAGAATCCATATGAGATTTTGGGGGACATCATATCTGAATGCTGTCATCGTCTTATGCGTTTACTCATAGATACAGTAGTGTCTGGCAGGTTTCAGCTTGTCCTCTGCTCCCCATTACCCTGCCTCTGGCTTTCCTCCAAACTGCAGACGTTGCTAATCAACAGCACCCCAGGCCTATCAGCCAGCAACTGCCTGTGGACCCACAGAGGCAAACTCTTCCTCTAGATTTCACCGTTAGCCACTCCTTCCTGATCCTAGCAGAAGCTAGACACCCCTGGCTTTTCAGCCTGACTGGGTTAAGGAGTTCTCTGATCCTCCAAGCCTTCTTTCCAGATATTCAATAGCCCAGTTTTCCCCACTAAACGTATATGGTCTGATTTTAAAAATAAATCCTTTATTCCATGACCAAGAGAGTTCTGCCATGTGGATGGAACCCTAGCTGATACAGGTACCACCCCCACCCTGCCCCCGCCCAATTCTTCCTCTCAGGATATACACAGTCACCAAACCTGTCAGACCTCTCTCTGTAACATCCCTCTACTCATCCATTCTCACCATCCCAGGCACTGAAATAGCCTTCTCAGATTGCTACGCTGCCTTCCACTTCTCTGCCCACCTCCAGTCTGATTCCCCTCTCTAGAGCAATGGGAAGTGATCCCCTAAGGCCCATTACTGGCCTCCTCTTCTTTTTGTATAAAAGTGATGTTTGACAAAGCTCTGCCTCTTTCGGCTTCTGCTAGCTTCTCCAGCTTCTTGGCTTCAATGTTCCCTCCATCCATGCCCATGTGTAGTCATTAGACAAATCTTGGCCAGTTTGAAAGGATATGGCATTGGGCTATTTTAAACTCTTCTTATTCACTGAGGTTTGAGTCCCCCCAGATATTCAGTTTCTGCATATTTATTTCTAGCAACTGCCTCATCCCGAGGCCACAGTATGCATGGTGCTGAGACTTGAAGGCTTTAGCTCCTAGGGTGGGTCAGGTGACTCAAAGGCCAGTTGCAGTCCTCATATCTCACCTCCACATGCAGCTCCCCGGCCAGATGGTGATTGGAGTAGAATGAGAATCTTTTATAGAAGTTAACTTATCACTCAATGCTAAATTCTCCCTGCAAAGACAAAAATAGAGAACAAGTAGTCCTGAAATACTTCCCAAGAACCAGGGTAGGTTATCTCTATGTGAAATCCCAATAGCTTATTTTCTTTCAGAATTGTATTTATTGCGTGAAATTTTGTCTACCCACTAAGTGATTATTTTATTTGTGTTATTCATTTTATTGAAAATTAAGCCCGGGCTGGGGATGTGGCTTAAGCGGTAGCGCGCTCACCTGGCATGTGTGTGGCCCGGGTTCGATACTTAGCACCACATACAAACAAAGATGTTGTGTCCGCCGAAAACTGAAAAATAATATTAAAAAAGAAAAGAAAAGAAACTTTAAAAAAAAAAAAAAAGAAAAGAAAATTAAGCCCGGGGATGGGGCATGGGATGAATGGAGGAATTTTGGATTGGGCAAGGGGTGGAGGAGGGGAGGAGCATGGGAGTAGGAAAGATGGTGGAACAAGACAGACATCATTACCCTAGGTACATGTATGATTGCACACAGGGTGTGCAACTAGAAAAGTGAAAAATGGTGCTCCATTTGTATACAATGAATCAAAGTGCATTCTGCTGTCATGTATATAATTAGAACAAATTAAAAAAATAAAAGTAAGCCAGGCTTGTTGGGGCACACCTGTAATCTCAGCAACTGGGGAGGCTGAGGCAGGAGGACCACCTAGCCATAGGCGATCCTTCTCTCAAAACAAACAGACAATCAAAACACCTGACGAGGGGTTGGGGATATAGCTCAGTTGGTAGAGTGCTTGCCTAGGATTCACAAGGCCCTGGTTTCAATCCTCATTACCATTAAAAACAAACAAACAAAACACCTGACAGATCTGGTGCCGTAGGCCTATAATCCCAGTTACTGGGGAGGCTAAGGCAGGAGGATCCAAATTCGAGGCCAGCCTGAGCAATTTAGTAAGACCTTGTCTCAATTGAAAATAATTAAAAGGGCTGGGGATATATCACAGCAGTAAAGTGGTTGCCTAGCATGTGCAAAACCCTGAATTTGAGCCCCAGCACTACAAATAAACAAATATACAAAAAGTTTGAAAAAAAATAATGCATGTAAAAAAATACAAAACTCTACCAAGAAGATTTAAAAACATTCATCTGTTCTTGGATTTAATAAGGATAAATGTTACCATAAAAGAGGCCAAAGAAAATCATTTACAAGGAGGGAGCTGGGGATATAGCTCAGTTGGTAGACTACTTGCCTTACATGCACAAGGCCATGGGTTCAATCCCTAGCAGCACCAAAGGAAAAAAAAAGAAAGTCATCCACAAGAAGATGTTTTCAATTCATATCATTAACAAAGCTTTTGAATCCAGAATATGTAAAGTCATAAATACTTTGTACAAATTAATAATAATAATTTAAAAATTCCCTTCTTCCCTAAGAGCAGAAGACTTGAAACCTCACAAGAGTAAATGATTAATCAATAAACATGACAAATTACTCTATCTCAATAAGAATCAGGAGATGCAGATTTAAATCATAATGAAATATTGTTTCACATCTACCACATTGGCACAATGCACCTTGAGTCTAACCATTCAAATGTAGGTGAAGATGTGAAAGCCATGAGAATTCTTATGCAGCACATTACTGATGGGGTTAGTACAGTCCCACCAGAAATTAGTACAGTCCCACCAGAAAACAACATAAACATTGCCCCATCTTGTAAATTGAAGATGCTCCTATCTCAAAGATCTGCAAATTATGGCCCCTGGGGCAGTATGTCCCATCTCTTGTTTTATTTTTTATTTTACTGTGAGATGGAGTCTTATTAAGTGTCCTGGGCTGCCCTCAAACTTGGGATCCTCCTGCCTTAGCCTCCTAAGTAGCTGGGATCACAGTTATGCACTACCACACTGGATTCCACTACCTATTTTCTTTTGCTTTTATTTTCTACCATTTATTTTTATACAGCCTGCAAGCTAAGAATAACTCTTAGATTTTAATTTTTATTTATTTATTTTGCAGTACTCCTGATTGAACCCTGGTGTATGCTACCACTGACAATATTCCCAGCTGTTTTCATTTTGAAACATTAAGTTGCCCAGGTGAGTCTTGAACTTGTGATCCTCCTGCCTCCAACACCCAAGAACCTGGGGTTAAAAGCATGTGCTGTCATGCCCAGCAATTTGTAGATTTTTAAATAGTGGGAACAAATCAGAATTATGATAACCTATGATAGGACTGGTTATAAATTTTTTAAATTTATTTTTTAGTTGTGGTTGAACACAATATATTTTATTTATTTATTTTATGTGGTGCTAAGGATCAAACCCAGGGCCTCGCACATGCCAGGCAAGAGCTCTACTACTGAGCCACAACCCCAGTCCCCTGGTTATAAAATTTTATTGGAAAAAAATTTATTTGACCCAGGCATGCTGGCACACACTTGTAATCCCAGCAGCTCGGGAGGCTGAGATGGAGGATTGTGAGTTCAAAGCCGGCCTCAGCAAAGGGAGGTGCTAAGCAACTCCCATGAGACCCTGTCTCTAAATAAAATACAATGTAGGGCTGGGGATGTGGCTCAGTGGTCTAGTGTCCCTGAGTTCAATCCCAGGTAC